GCCCCAAGGGCCCCAGAGGCAGAGCTCATAGCCACCCCGGAACCTCGCCGCTCGACGCGCCCCAGGAAGCCACCGGCGCACCTGAAGGACTTCGTCTGTGGGTGCATTGCAGACCACGGGGGGAGGGGTGTAATGTATTCAGCCTGACATGCCCGGACTTGCCCGGGCTGGCCAGGCACAAACCATCAGTAGCTTGAGTCGAAAGACAAAGGATCCGAAGGATCCTAGCTGGCCCTATCAAAGGGCTAGCTTCCCAGCCGGGAGACCAATGGTCACCCGGTTACTGTAAATAGCCTATTAGGAGTAGGGGGTGTGTTTATGGGTACTTGGTGGCGGGTTTTCTGACCGCATATAAACCGGCCTGCGAGCTGGTCAGTTGTCTTTGTCCTGAACCAAATAAAGGTATGCTTAGCTGAAATCACTCTCCGTCTGCATACTTTTCGTACCAATTCTGAATAAAGTAGCTATCAGTGTTTAAGGAATGTTTGTGTGTGTGTGTGTGTGTGTATGTTGAAGCCTTTTAGTCTGCTCTGTTAGCGGGCCTGCATACACTTTCCATGGCCTATGGTAAGGGGCCATCACCAACACATAGAACCGAGGCATAGTGGGTGACACATATTAGGCACGCGTGTCCACAGTTCCCACGACAATCACTTCATATTATAACAACAATATGCTTAGCATTTTATTGCCCTTTTGAGTATTTGAGGTGCTTCACATATCTACTCTTGCTATAGTCATGTAGGCTGAATGAAGAATGGAGGCTGAGAAAGCATGGCTTGCCTATAGCCAGCTGCTGAGTTCACAGCAGAGGCAAGATTGATTTTTTTAAATTTAAATCATTTTATCTCCTCTTTCACCACAAGCAGACTCAAAGCAGTTTGAACTGCAGAAATTCCTGATTCAGAGGAAAAAAAATCATTTCAGGTTTGAGTTTTTGTACCATAAATTCTTTTAACCTAGACAATTTAATATCCTACATAAACAGCATTCACAGGTTGCATGCTTTTCAAATGACTTGAGCTCTTTGCATTGTGCTTAGAATGGAAAGAGCCAAGTCCCATAGGTTGAACTCATCCCGAGCTCTTTGGGTCCAGCACATATGAATTTAGTAGTAGATGCACCAATAACTTTTGGTATAACGTTTGCTGTGTCAATCTCTCTAGTGTTACTAAAGTAGCAATTTACTGTGATGCAATTGTTTCATTTGAAATATAAATTGTAAATTTCATTCAGAGAGTTATAGAGATGAAAGAAGGAAAAGCAGGGTAAACAATTAGATGTAAGGAGGAATTCATAGGGTGAGAATGGAATCCAGGATGCCCTGCTGTCTTGGCTACAGCTGTAAGAGCATTGGCAGAAGCTGACGGGGGTATCACCCGGCTCTTTTGGTTGTAACAGCATTGAACCAGATCTGTTTACAGAATTTGGCCTGCGTTCCATTTCTTGGATATGGGGAACTCTCATGGGGTCTTGGCGTGAGGGACAAAGGGGGAGCATGCTTGCTCAAGGACTAACAGCAGGTACCCTCACGACGAGATGGCAGGGGAGAACAGGAAGGGGCAGTCATCCGTGTGGGCTCCAGCAACCTGCCATTCCATGAAGCACTACCCATGCAGGCTGGCTGGGTGACGGGTACATCGGCTGGTGGATGGGCCAGCTGAGGCATGTGAACCGGCAGGCCCATGCAGTTCCAATGCTTCTTACAGCTGTAGTCAATAAAGTGGTGGCAAATTTACCCACATATTTTCTGAATCAGTTGTGCATGGTTCTAGCATATGGAATGGGCATAGCCGAGGAAGCCTCTCCCACTCTCCATGAGAACTGGAATCCACAAGCAGAAAGGGCTCAACTCAAACAAGGCCCATATTTTGCAGGGCCAGGCAGGGGGAGGAGAGGGAGCTGGCCAGAGGCTGGGCGGGGCAGGTGATTGGCGGCAGGAAAGAAGGGCCTCTACTTCCGCCTGGAGCTTATGGTAGGGTGCCAGAGCGGCCAAGGAAGAGGACTAGAATAGGGGGAACAGTCCAGCTGCCACCCACCCACCCCCAGTCTTTGTCCGGCCACCGAATGACACGCCCACTCATCCCACCCCAAAGTGTACAGATATATATTTGATACACCCGGGGGGTGGGGGTGGGAGTGGGGATAGCATTCTGCTGTTAATTAAAGGGGTTATTGCATTCATTATGATGTATTCCTTTTGTTATGTATTGTCACAACTTTAGTGGTAACAGCATGGGACCGGATCAGTTTACGGAATGTGGCCTGTGCACCACTTCTTGGATATGGGCCCCCATCATGGGGTCTTGGCGTGAGGGACAAAGGGGGATCATGCTTGCTCAAGGACTAACAGCAGGTACCTTCATGACCAGATGGCAGGGGAGAACACGAAGGGGCAGTCATCTGTGTGGGTTCCAGCAACCTGCCATTCCATGAAGCACTACCTAGGCCAGCTGGGCGGGTGATGGGTACATCGGCTGGCAGATGAGCCAGCCGAGGCTTGTGATCCACATATTTTCTGGATCAGCTGCATGCATGATTCTTGCCTACGGAATGGGCATAGCTGAGGGACCCCCACCCCCGAGAACTGGAACCAGCAAACAACTGCACTTAGACCAGCTTCTCACATCATTCTTTTTATACTACATATTCCTTATGTTTACATTCTGGAAGTAGGAAAGGTGTGTGTATGTAAGGTGAAACACACTTCTTTTTTTCTATTCACTGTAATTTGCCAAATGAAAAAACTTCAATGTAAAAGTCTGGTGGATTAAACCAAATTCATTTATCACTTAGAAAAGAGTTTTCTCACCTGATAATAAGAAAGTGCAAGCTGTCAACACACCATTTAGAGCTCACATTGTTATGTCCTAGTCCAAAATGACACCCACCTAAATGAAAGCATTTCATGGATGCCCAAGGCCAGGACTTCTGATCACGTATGATTGTATAGCAATGAGCACGGAATGGAATCCAAGCTGTGGAGCTTTTTTGTTGGGGTTCAGGGCATCTTCCAGGGACCTGAGGATGATCAGTTGGAGCGGTTCCTGTTGTGGAAACAAAGAATTGGTATTTTTCAAATCTTTTAAGAACACACATGTAAATAATTAACCACAATCAGGTGATTTGTTTGTGCTCAGAATCTCAAATTCATAATTTACAATACAAAGTTTATGCACACCTGAGTATCATCTTCATTATGTTTATGCCACGGTTGCCAGCTCCCAGGTGGGAGTAGGGGATCTCCCAATTTCATGGGCTCCAGCCCTCTGCAGGCCAGGTGACCAATGGGGGGAACCCCACCCCCAACAGCCATGACCAAGTGCAACATCCCTAGCATGATGACATCACACAGAAGGGACGTCATCATGCCCGGGATGTCACATGGCAACGCTCTGGTATTTTGGGCAAAACTCAATAATAACCATAGTGATGTTGTCCCACCCCCCACTTCTGGGAAGCTCCTTTCCACCCCCCACCAGCAGAAGAAAAGGACCTGGCAATCCTAGTTTATGCATTTGAATGAACTTACATTTCTTTTTCCTTCCCAGAAGGCTGTCATGAGCATATGATTGGATGCCATTGTTGAGAAGCTTAAGAAATCTGGTTTGTTGAAACCACATCTGAAATGATATCTCTGAACATCTATGAGCCACACACACACCCCCCCCCATTCTCTACTGGGCTGCACTATATCACTGCAGTATGGCTTGGTGGGAAAGTGGGGAAAAGCCAAAGGGATAGAAAAAGGAAAAACAGTACATGGGAGTGAGATGCCCCAAATCATTTTTGAAGGTGCTAAACTCCTCTTCATAGTGATGACAAGCATAGCATCTAAAGTGACGCTTCATTCACAGTCACCCCACAGTTCCCCTGTTAAACCAGAGAAAAATAGGTTTTGTTTTTGCACCATGAGTTATGTGTAGAAAGAGCATGGCATCATGTGGCCGCTCCCCTTTAATTCAAGGGCTTCAGCTTCCCATGCAGCGAAAAGTCACCATGTAGAAGTCTCCATTGTTGAATACATGGGCATGCTGGATTTTTATGTGTAAAGTGCCATCAGGTTGCAGCTGACTTGTGGCAACACCAGTAAAGGCTTCCAAGGCATGTGAGAAGCAGGAGTGGTTTGTCATTGCTTTCCTCTGCAGAGTCTTCCTTGGTGTTCTCTCTCCCTCCTAGGGTTGCCAACCACCCAATGGGGGTGGGGGTTCCCCCAATTTTGGGGACCCCAATCCACAGCCAGCTAGCTGTCTGGTGGGGGGAGCACCACCCCTGAACAACCCCACCACATGTAACATGCCTGGCATTATGATGTCACCCAGAGGTGATGTCATCACACCGGGCATGTCGCATGGGGGACGCTCTGGCATTCGGCTAAAAACTTTATAGTGACCATCAAGTTTTTAGTTGAATGTCAGAGCGTCCCTTGTAGAATGTGACCAGAGCGATGATGTCACTTCCAGGTGACATCATCGTGGTACACATACTATGCAATGCACCAGAAAACCCAGGAAGGAAGCCAGGACCCCCCACACATACACACACCGGCGTATGGGTAAGACCTGGGAACCCTACTTCCTCCAAGTACTGAATGTGCTTAACTTCTGAGATATGATGAGATCACGCTATATCATGCTCTCTGCCCTCACCACATGCTGGATATTGTCAAATGAATTCCATTTGATTCCCAGACTGCATACTGAAAAAGTCATTACTTACAGAGAGAGAAAAAATGGTGTCCTGAATCAATTTGCAGTAATGTCCTCATAACCAAAGGTGAATTTAATTCTCACTAATTGAAATGGGCATCAATGTTATGTTTAATTTTTGCCACAGAAATTAATGGAATCTAATTTCTGTTACATTGGGCTGAATTGAGTCCCCTGGTCAGCAGGAGCAGCATTAGGCAGACATTCCGGGTTGCAGCAGTGGCAATTTGGTGGGGGGAGGGGAATTCAAGTCATGTGTTATTATAGAACTTAAACAAAGTCATTGTTATGTAATTTAACAAAGTGTTTTCATCTCTCATTCACTGTGAAAAAGAAATAAATGCCAATTCCAACTTTGTCTTCTTTTTACTCTGTCTGGTAAAATGAATGTGGAGATCTAATAGTAATTAAACTGCAATGTCCCAGATTACACATTTACATACTTTTACTTACCATTATACTGCTCACAGACAGCTCTGTACTTTTTATTACATGTTCCTGTTTTCCATAGCCCACCAAGGTCTAAGTAGACACAGGCTAGATTTTCTTTTGGCTCTCCAGGAGCCCAATTAGTATATTCCAGTTTCCAGTCAGATACCCATCTATAATTCTCATTGGTCTAAAAGGTAAATCATAGAAAAATGATACAGTGGTTTAGAAAAGGCATTCAGTTTATTTGAAAAAAATGTGGAAAACAATGTCCATATGCTCAAAACAGACCATTTTTGCACCTTCAGACTGACAGTTCATGTTACAGCAAAAAAGTGTAAAGATTCCTGTGGCACACCTTAAATACCATATTCTTTAAGTCATACATTTTAATTTAATTAGATGCATCTTCAATCTATAGATAAGTATATACACAAAGATGCATAGACATCTATTTATCACATTTTTATTCTACTCTTTCATCTCTCCATTTTACAAGTAATTCCAGACCAAGCCACAGAATATGGATCATTAGATCCACAAAATGGAACTAAGGAAAGATGGGGGGATTTATCTGAAAACCTGACAGAAGACCAAAATTTGCAGAAAAATCTGAAATCTTAATAAAAAATATGTTGGGGGATTAAAACTCCCCAAAATAACAGAAACAATACATGTAGCTTTAAGAGAGTGATGCCCACTGCACTCTCTGTCAGCAATTTGCAAGTTGTTAAGCAACCACAACAATATTGCTGAGCCTTCCAAGCCCTGGTTTCTGTAAAGCAAAGCTTCAGGGGGGGCAGGAGTGGAGGCCAACACTGGCTCTAGTCTGGCAATGGCAGTCAGCATGCAATTGGGGCCAAGCCCAGTGGTGGCCCTCAGTGCACAACTGAGTCTGAGCACAGTGGTGGAAGCCAGTGTGCAGCTGGGCCATATTTTCCCCAGGGAGTGGGGGAGGGAAGGAGAGAAAGATGAAGACAGTAGAACTGATAAAGGAAGGTTAGCAGGTAGGAAGAAGAGATGGAATCTGAAAAAATGTGTAGGCTGTCAGAAAAGCGGAAGAGGAAATAGTGAGGGAGGAGATACAGGAGAAAACAAGATGTCCTCCTCAAGTCCTTGTGGATCCCCTTGTTTTATCCTCACAACAACCTGGTATTTAAAATAGTTATAAGCTGTTTTCCACCCATTTTAGGATTTCCAAAGTGGTGAACAATAAAAACATTGCAACAAGATAAAACACATATAAATACATATAAATAATTAAAAATTATTAAAACAGAACTCAAACAAATAAAAGTGCAAACCACAGAAAAGATCAAGGAACACCAGGTAAAACAAAGAATTCTTCATCTGCTGATGCAACATGATAATAGCAGGATGCAGGGAAATCCACTTGGGAATTCCACAGTTTTAGCACCACAACCAAAATGGTCCTTTCCTGTATTGCCACCTATCTGACGTCAGATGGCGGGGATTCCTGAACTAGGTTCTCCAAAAAAATAAGGTATTCAGGCCCCAAGCAATATAGGGCCTTAAGGATTAATATCAGCACCTTGAATTGAGCCTGAAAGCAAATTGAGAGCCAGTGCAGATGATACAAGATTGGAGTAGTGCTGTCCCTAGTAGGAATGGGCAGAAACCAGAAAATTATGGTTTGGTTCAGGGTTCAGGATGTGCTTGGAATCCGGGGGAGTGAGAGGGATCACTGGAATGGCTTGCATCTATTTCAGCCTAACAGCTGATGGCCACACCAGCCCCGCCATTAGGCCAAAATGGATGCACCTGCACTGCTGGTGTGCCCATCAGCTGTTAGGCTGAAATAGATGCAAGCCATTCCAGCGATCCCTCTCACTCCCTCGTCCGCTTCCCACCATGAGCTGCACAAACCTCTAACCCCCTCCCGTCACATAGAGTGTTGTGGAAGGGCAGGGGTCGTTTCGTAGAAAAAGAGCTAGGGGAACTCATTAGCATAACTCATTAGCATATGCCACACCTCCTGACATCAGGGGCCTGGCGGTGGACCTGCAAGGCCGGCGAGAGTGCGAGGAAGCCCCGCCAAGGCCCTCCCTGGCCCTAGGCAGACAGGGGTGGGGAGAGGCGGGGAGGAAGCAACTTACCCTCCCTCTTCTCCTGCCTCCTCCTGGCTGAATGAGGGCCGGAAGCGGGGCAGCTGGAAGCAGGGGGCGGGCCTTCGTCGTGTGCACCACCCCCGCACCTCACCCGGGGGAACAGCGTTCCCCCGCGTTCCCCCCCGAAATGACCTCTGTGGAAGGGTCATGAGGGCAAGAACTTTTGGTCTGAACCTTGGTTTGCAAACCACAACCCAGGTGGTTTCACTCCCTGCTTCCTGCTCACTGCCAAAAGCTTTTCATGCAAGCCATTTAACCCCTTGATTTCTGCTCTTCATGAACTGCCATGAACTGCATCAAAATTTATAGACATTCATGGTGGTTCTTCAGTTCATGAACTGTGACCCAGTCAAAATTTGTTACAAACTTCAATGTGTGAGCCGGTTCGTGCCCATCCCTACTTGCCTCCCAAAAATCTTGTTGGTCTCTAAGGTGTTCCTGGACGCAAATATAGCTCTTCTAATGCAGACCAACACAGCTACCTTTCTGAAACTACCTTCATAGGATGTCTCTGAAAAACTTCACCATTCAGAGAAATTGGGCAACTTTCGCAATTCTACCTGCATAATTTAATCAAAGTCTACATGTGTTTTTCAGAGATATTTTGAGTTGTGCATCGCTGAGTGAACATTACTACTGCTCATTTGATTGCTGTATTTAACTGTGTTGACATAAGAAAAGCTCTTCTGGCTCAGACCAATATCATGGGCAGCTTGTGGACTGAAGCACAAGAAATATCCCACCCTCCACAACTGTGTTCAACTGAAGGGGGACAGGGGCACTGAAAGGTGGCACTGCCAAAGATCCATCAGGCCAATCATTCTGTCTCACAATGGACCAGAAGATGTAGGGAGCAGATGAGGAGGGAGAGAAAGAAAGTATTCATAGCCAGAATAGAGTTGGAAGGGGCCATACAGACCATTTAGTCCAACCCCCTGCCCAATGCAGGACCAGTCTAAAGCATCCCTGACAAATATTCATCCAGCTTCTTCCTGAAAGTTGCCAGAGAATGGGAGCTCACCACCTCCCTAGGCAGCTGATTCCATCTTTGAACCATTCTGACCATGAAAAAGTTTTTCCTAATATCCAGCCGATAACTTTCTGCATGTAATTTAAACCCGTTGCTCCGGGTCCTATCCTCTGCTGCCAACTGAAACAGCTCCTTGCCCTCTTCCAAATGACATCCTTTCAAATATTTAAAGAGAGCAAACATGTCCCCCCTCAATCTCCTCTTCTCCAAACTAAACATTCCCAAGGCCCTTAGCCTTTCCTCGTAGGGCTCACTCTCCAGACCCCTGATCATCCTTGTCACTCTCTTCTGAACCCTCTCGATTTTGTCCACATTTTTTGAAGTGAAGCCTCCAGAACTGCACACAGTCCTCAAGGTGCAGCCTGACCAAGGAAGTATACAGAGGGGCTATGACCTCCTGCGATTTCAGTGCTATGGCCCTTTTAATACAACCCAAGACTGAATTTGCCTTTTTTTACCATCGCATCACACTGACTGCTCATATTTAGTTTTCGGTCCAATCTTACCCCAAGATCTCTTTTGCATACACTACTCCCTAGAAACATATCCCCCATCCAGTATTTGTATTTGACATTTTTGTGGCCCAGATATAATATTGTGCATTTATCTTTGTTGAATTTCATGCTGTTTGCAACTGCCCACTTCTCCAGAGTATCCAGGTCTTGTTGAATTTTAACTCTATCTTCTTGGGTGTTTGCTACTCCTCCCAATTTGGTAGCATCAGCAAATTTAATGAGTAGCCCTTCTACCCCTTCATGCAGATCACTGATAAAAATATTGAAAAGTACCAGGCCCAAAACCAAGCCCTGCGGCACCCCACTGGACACCTCCCCCCAATCTGATGAAATGCCATTGACCACCACTCTTTGGGTGTGGTCCTCTAACCAGTTCCCTATCCACCGAACTATCCTATAATCCAGTCCACAGTCTTCCAGTTTTCCCATCAGAATGTCATGGGGAACCTTATCAAAAGCTTTACTGAAATCCAGGTAAATCACATCAACAGAGTTCCCACCAGTAAGCTCGTCACCAATCAAAGAAGGAAATCAGGTTGGTCTGACGAGATCTGTTGAGGACAAAACCATGCTGACTTCCCCAGATCACTAAGTGGTCCTTCAGATCGAACCCTTTAAAATTTGCTCTAATATCTTCCCAGCAACAGAAGTCAGACTGACCAGCCTGTAGTTTCCCGGGTCATCCTTCTTCCCTTTCTTAAAGATCGGGATAACATTCCCTCCTCTCCAATCTTGTGGCACATCCCCAGTCCTCCAGGAGGCCTTGAAGATGATGGACAGAGGCTCTGCAAGTTCATTAGAAAGTTCTTTGAGCACTCTTGGATGCACACTATCAAACCCAGAGGATTTGTATTCATCCAGTGCAGCCAGGTGCCTCTCCACAACCTCCCTGTCAATGTCAACTGGACACTCAGGTGTCCTGTCGTGTCCTCTACCATCTCTAGATCCAGTTCTTCAGGGAGAAAACAGAGGCAAAAAAGTAATTAAGCCTGTCTACTTTTTCTCTGTCCTCCACCAGAGTTTCTCCTTCTACTCCCAAAAGTGGTCCAATTGCCTCTTTTACCTTGTGTTTGCTTCTCACATATCTGTAGAAGTTTTTCTTATTGTAGCAAGCCCCCCTGGCCAGACCCAACTCATACTGAGCTTTGGTTTCTCTGATGGTTGATCTGCAGTACCTAGTAACTCTCATATATTCCTCTTCAGAGGTCTAACCTTCCCTCTGTTTCCTGAACATTTCCCTTTTCTCCCTTAGCTTATCCTGGAGTTCTTGGTTCATCCACATTGGCTTCTTGGAGTTCCTACCATGTTTCTGCCTTGCTGGAATAGTGAGGGCTTGAGCTCGCAAAAGCTCATGTTTGAGAAGAGCCCACCCTTCACTCGCTCCTTTCCTTTCCAGCACACTCCCCCACAGAACGACTCCCATGAGGCATCTGAGTTCGTTGAAGTCGGCCTTACGAAAATCTAACCTACAAGCAATGCTCCCTCTAAGTTGTGGAGTCTTGTGAGCAAAAATTCTGCTTTGTGAGCTACAGGCATTAAAGTTGTGAGCAAATGATTTGGCTACTGCATATCCTTCCTGAGCTATCCTTCCTGAGCAAAGACAAAAATGTGTGAGCCAGAGGCTAAAAAAGTGTGAGCTAGCTCACACTAACTCAGCTTAGAGGGAACACTGCCTACAAGTCTGGCTACAAACTTCCTTGACCCCCCACAGCAACTGGAATTCAAGGAGGACATGGTCACTTCTCCCTAATGTCCCCACCACCTTCACCCCATCTACCAATTCTTCCCTGTTTGTTAATATTAAGTCCAGTATGGCCGAGACCCTTGTAGCTTCCTCCACCATTTGAAAAAAGAAGTTGTCAGCCAGAGAGGTCAGGAAGTTGTGTGATTCTTGTGACTTTGATAAGCCTGTCTCCCAGCACACACCGGGGAAGTTGAAGCCTCCCATATATTATATATGGTTTTGATGTCTGGACACTCTACTAATCTATTCAAGGAGGGCAGCATCCATTTCCTGTCCCCGGTCCGGCGGTCTGTAGCAGACTCCAGCAATACCCTTTCTCCTACCTCCCCTTATTTCCACCCATGTACTTTCCGCGGGGCTGTCAACCACATTCTCCAGAACTTCCTGACAATCTAGCCCTCTCTTCACATACAGCGCCACTCCGCCTCCTCTTCTACCCTTCTGGGTTTTTTTGAACTATTTATACCTATCCACCACCACATTCCAGTCATGAGAATCATCCCACCAAGTCTCAGTGATTCTTATTATATTGTAGTCCTCTGTTTGCAAGAGAATCTCAAGCTCTACTTTCTTATTACCCATACTACGGGCGTTAGTATATAGGCACTTGTAGCCTTGTACCTTTGTCCTACCCAGGTGGGCCCCCACTGTTTTCACTTCGTCATTGAAGTCCCCATGTTGATCATCCCCTTCCCCTTGCAGCTTCAAGTTTAAAGCTCTCCTGATTAAGCTCTCCAGGTTCTTTCCGAACATCTTCTTCTCTGACCTTGAGAAGTGAAGCCCATCATGTGCTCAAAAGCTTTTTCTAAGAAAACTTATCCCGTGGTCCCAGAACCCAAAGCACTCCAGTAGGCACCCCCGTCTCAGCCAATGATTCACCTCGAGTATGGTCTGTTCGCATTCCTCTTCCTATGACTGGAAGGATAGAAGAGAAAACCACCTGTGCTCCCAATGCCTTCAACTGCCTTCCAAGAGCTTCATAGTCCTTTTTCATTTTCGTGATGGTATTTGCGGCGGTGTCATTTGTCCCCACCTGAATCAGCACAAATGGGTACTGATCAGTAGGTCCTATAAGTTTTGGCAGTCGGTCTGTAATATCCTGAATTCTGGCCCTAGGTAAGCAACACATCTCTCGGAGTAGGGGATCCGGCCCGGCCACATTATGTTCCATACCCCTGAGCAGAGAGTCCCCAATAACCACCACTTTCTATCTCCTTCCACTTCTTTGTTGCACCATGCCCTTTTTCACTCCCTTTTCCAGGTCTCTGTGGCTCTCCTTCCACTCTCATCTCCATCACCCTCTCAAGCACCTCAAAATGATTCTTGAGCTCCAGTGGACCAGAGTGTCGTCATAGTCACCGTCTTCAGGTTTGTACTGTAGAACTGAGAGGAGGCTCAGAAGGGAGTGTGACTCTTCCTTCTTCTCCTTGACTTTCTACATCATGTGTTTGCAGAGTTCCCAGGCTCTTGTCAATAAAATCCTCTCCTTCCTTGATGTCCTGAAGGGTAGTGATCCTCTCCTGCAGGCTCCAAATGTTCTCCCCCAAAAGCCTGACCAGCTTACACTTCTGACAAGTCCGTCTTCTCTTCCAGGAGGAAAACAAACATGGCACATTCCATGCAGGTGACTGGAAAGGGGCCTTCTGTTGACATCATTGGCATCCAAGTATATTACAAGAGTACACTGAGCAGAGTTTTGGGGCCCTCAGGCCAAGAGCCACAGGCGAAGAGCCCTTTAGCTCTCACCCTTCAGCCTGCACCAAGGCTCGTGCCTCTGGCGAGGAGCCTTTTGTTTCATGAGAACATAAGAAATGCCAAAGTTGGATCAGGCCAAAGGCTCATCCAGTCCAACACTCTGTGTCACACAGTGGCCAGAAATATCAGTGCCATCAGGAGGTCCACCAGTGGGGCCAGGACATTAGAAGGTCTCTTCCTGCCAAGTACAGCAGAGCTCAGCACAGCACAGTAGGGGGTGGGGCTTGTACTCAACAGCAATCAGCAGCAACTCACTCAGCCCCCAGCAGCCTCCAGCACACAATTAGCCCAAAAACGGAACTTAAACAGAACCACTGTCTAGCAAGCTCTAAAGAACCCACTCACCCCCAGCTTCTCACACAGCAGCTAGGAAAGGCAAAAGGCAGAAAGACAAAAAAAACCTTACCTTCTAGCAGCTCCTCACCATGTGCTCTCCACTCCTTGCCTCAGGCCAGCTGACTCAACTCTTTTTGCCTGGTTCAGGAGCTGGGAAGGGCTTATGAGCACTGTGTCCTCTAAACTGTGCACATGAGTGGAGGAGGAAGAATAGTTGGATTTATACCCCGCCCTGCATTTGGAGTCTCAGAGCAGCTTGCAATTGCCTTCTCTTCCTCTCCCCACAACAGATACCCTGTGAGGTAGGTGGGGCTGAGAGAGCTTTAAGAGAACTGTTCTTGAGATAACAGCTCTGAGAGAACTGTGACTGACCCAAGTTCACCCACCTGGCTTCATGTGAAGGAGTGGAGAATCAAACCCATTTCTCCAGATTAGAATCCACCACTCTTAACCACTATAGCAAACACAGGAAGTCCCTCTAAGCAGCAATCTGGAGCCCCACACAACAGTTATATTCCACTCAGGATGTGAACTGCTCTGTTCAGTATAGGGGAAAATAGAGGGAACATGAACCAGGCTGATCTCTAGAGGATCAGCTATAATTCCAGGATATCTCCAGGTTCCATCTGGACAATGGCAAGCCTACTCCTACTCACATAAGCATATAAGCATGGCTAATAAGAGATTTCAAAGAAACTATAAATTGCAAGTCTTCCTTTAAAAAGTGGAATTATAATCCAAATGAAGTGAACAAGAAAGAACAGGAAGAGGTTCTGGCAAAACAAATGGAAATTGACTGTAAGGCACAGAAAAAGAATTTGAGGAACATGTTACTAACATAGCAAGAAAATGTATTAAGAATTTCTTTAAATAAATCGGAGCCAGGAAACCTGCTAGAGAGGTAGTTAGCCCCATGGGAGGACAAAGGATTCCTAAAGGAATATGTTGAGATTGAAGAAACATTGAAAGAAATAACAATACTTAGTGTGGAGCTTCCCAACCTTTTTTTAAATTGCCCCCACCATGGCAGCCATTTTGTGACTGGACCTGCCTCTCATGGCAGCCATTTTGTACTGATGCTCACTATTCTTTCTTAACATTCAAAAAGTGTCACAGGTTCATAAAATGCAAAGTTTGGGAAAGTTTTTGGAAGTTTTGTTAAGTTTCTATCAAATTTCCTCTAAACCAGTAAATTGTCATACATTCGACTATAAATTAGGCATCAATTTTATGCAAAGCTAATTGCAAAATTTATTCATATATTGTCAACAATGTCAGCTAGTGGATTGCCTACACCATAAAAGATGCACCATCTGAATACAAACCCTCAGGCTGAGTAAATAGCATTACACTCATTTATGCCTTGTTCTTACCACATTGCTGTTTAGACCAATCCATAGAGGTTCCCCGTATTTCAGCGCCAGGTGCCACAGGAATGATTGGCTATAGGGATTCAGAATGTTGGTAAGTTCTGAGTGTTTAGAATGACACTGTTTTCTGGCTTCTTTCCATGTTGCAGTTTTAGTGAAAGAATAGCTGCTGTTTCCATAAGGTATATAGCCAGATGCCGGAATTGTTGTTTCAGAGTGAGAAGACACAGGGTCTATGCCAAAGTCATAAAGAGAAAAGGTTAACGCTGGTTTTAGACTGTACATCTGAATCAGTTGACTGCATAAAGTGGACTCTGCCTCAATATCACAGAAAGAAGTTTAGGGCATGACACAACAAAGTAAAATGCATTTATACAAGTGCTTCCAATGGGAATTGTTGTTAGTGTACATAAGATTTCACTCCAGCTATCTTAGGCTGCCCCCGCACCTTTGCTTTTCCCTTTTTCCCCACTCAGATTTTCAACGAGACTATGGTGGATGGACTCCATTCCTATACAGACTGGGCACCACCCATCAATGCACCATGTGTTCTGCAAGATTTGTGGATTCCAAAAGTTGGCAACCCCATTATAGGTTGCACTCTTACATCAGATGGATTTTTACTGTGTGAACAGGCAAAATCCAATTCGAAAGTGCATTGAAAGTGGATTATTTATCGTGTGTGACTGCAGCCTAAATGTCCAAAAAGAAAGTAAAGATGGACATGACAGGGAGTTGAAGAATCTAGGGCTACCAGATTTCAGCATGGATTTGGGGCTCTCTGGCTCTTTCAATATATTTTTGACTGGATTCACTAGAGTCTGTAGGTGCTGGTGTGTGTGCTGTTGGTATATTCTGAAATGGACCCCAGAAGCTCCAGTGCAGATTCAGGCCCAAACTGTGTGAAGGAGACCAGGCCTGGATCTGCTCAAGAACTGAGCCTCTCCCATCTCCCTTCTACCCTGCATGGCACTGCAGTGGATGCAGGGAAAACAGGGAAGGCCCAGTTCCTGTTATTCAGGCTTTCATAAGGTTGCTGACTCTTGGAAGGGACAAATTTGGCAAGAGGCAGGGCCTGAGTACTTCCCAGGGACAACCCACCTATGAGAGGGGCTGATGGGGCAAAGGGGTAGGAATGAGGATGGTAGAAGTACAGACCCAGCAGAATACACTTTATTAATCTAATACTTTTTAAATCTAAGGCACACAGCTATTCTATGTACTTATAATTCACACCAGTCTATATGCCCATACATAATAACATGCTGTGATGATCTCTCTCACTGACACAGAATGCCTACCACCCTTCACAACCTTTCTCCCATAGGGTCAGGATTACAGGTAGGTCAGGCAGTCACATGTCCCTACCCGTCTTACCTCTTTTAAAATATACAGAAAGCCATGACGATTTCACATCCCAGGTCCTCTTTTTCATTCAGCGAGACATTGCCAGACAGAGTAGCCCAGCCCCCTTTAATAATTGCCCCTCATTTAGACACTGCACAGAGATATTAGAGTTGGGGACTCAAACACTGTTTCATTCACATACTGCCAATAGTTATTCATATCCTAATATATATGTAGACTGAGATCTTTGCTTCTGTGTGTACATGTGTTTCTTTCCCTGAGATAACTGGCCCACAGAGTTAAAGAAACAAGGAGTTAATTTTATTTATATTTTGAACATAATACTGAGGTAAGTTGGGTAGAGTTACAAAGGTCACATGGGCCGGAAAATGTGGGGGGGAAGCGTGGCTGTTTGCCCCGGAGCATAGTAACGCGTGGCAGCCTGATCACATGTCCCATCAAGGTCCCGTGGTTAGGCCATTCGGTGCTGATCACACGGCTATCCTGCAGTGCGGCAAAGAAGCGGTGCAGCGCGATCACACCGGCAATCACTACGCGCCACTTCCGTGGCAAATGGGAATTTTTTTCACCCCAGTTTGCACATGTGCATGATTGTTTGTGCGCATCCTGTGGAGACTTACCCCCAAAAAACATCCGGTGTGTGACGGGACAAGGACGGGCACTGGATGCCACGGGATTCAAGCAGAAATGCAATCAGACATCCGCCCTTGCCCCGCGTTTTCCAGAAACTAGTACATCGTATGTCGTAGTTTTTTACTCTGCATCTTCGGCGAGAAGCCACGGGTTAGCCACAGGTATACTACGCTTCCCAGATGTTGCAGTGTGATTGCGCAGTGAAAATCCGTCTATCATCCATGTCTTTAGTGTGGCAACTTCTCCGTGTGAATGGGACCAAAGTTTCTTTTCAGTTGAACTTTTGAACTGTCTTCCTTTTCCAGCATTTGGGATTCTTTGTTATAAATCGACTTTCAGTCAGCTTGTTCTTCTCCACAGCTTCACTCAGCTCCACTCACTCTCAGCCCACTAACTGTTGTCTTCCACTGTCCTATTCATTAACAGTCCATCAGTTTCCATTGGTTGCTTATTAGGGAGAGGTGGTATCTAACTTGTGTGTCACACATGCCTACACAGATCTACTACTACAATCCAGATTCCAGGCCAGTGAGATGAGTTGGCTGGGGCTATATAAGGCCCTGCAATGCCAGGTCAGGGAGGATTGGTTGGGACTGCTCCTCGGGCTGCTGAGAAGCCCAAGAGAGATATGGAGACATCCAGAAGCATCTCAACAGGAGGGAAAGGACTTAGGTGACTTAAACCCACCTCCACTACATTTCTGAGACCTCACCAAGGGCAGGAGGGGCCAGTGACTCCGGCCACTTCCAGCGCAGAAGATACTCTGACCAATTCCACAAATGCCTCAAGGCTTTTGTCAGGGGATCAACACTGGATCAATCCCCCAAATAAACAACTTCATATCCCAAGGCTCAGTGTGAAACACTGCAGCATTATGATGATCTGGTTCCAGGGTCTACAAGTATGTAGCCTACAAAAATGCATTCTTCTGATCTAGGATCCATCTTGGTCCTCTTTTCTTTAGGAATGTAAGTGTGGGCCTTTGAAACACTTTTAGATGTTTGTGCCCATACCACAGTTCAAATGGTGTACTGCTTGCACCTTTAGTATGTAATCTGTTTTGCAGGTAGGTAGCAGTGTTGATTGCTTCTCCACAATACTTGTCAGGTAGCTCTGCCTCAAGGAGTATAGATGTGCACATTTCAGTGAGAGAGTACCTTTCTGCTACACCATTCTGCTCTGGAGTGTATGGGGCTGTAAGCCGATGTTCTATTCCTTGTTCTGCCAAATAATTCTTCATTTCATGTCCCTCATGTCCCATTTTCAGTGCAGATTGCTAGTGGCTTTCTTTGAAATCTGTTACTGACCATTGCCACATATGCTTTAAATTTTCCTGCACTTGTCTTTTCTCTTTAATTAAGAAGGTCACAGTATATCTTGAAAAAGGTAAAGGTAAAAATTCCCTTGCTCGAAAGCCAGTCAAATCCAACTCTAGGGTTGCGGTGTTCATCTCCGTTTCAAAGCCGAAGAGCCAGCGCTGTCCGAAGACATTTCCGTGGTCATGTGGCCAGCATGACTAAACACCAAGGTGCACGGAACGCTGTTACCTTCCCACCAAAGTGGTCCCTATTTATCTACTTGCAATTTCTTGCTTTCGAACTGCTAGGTTGGCAGGAGCTGGAACTAGAGACGAGAGCTCACTCCGTCATGCGACAACTCGAACTGCTGAACTACCGACCTTCCACAGCCTGCAGTTCAGCGTCTTAACCACTTGAGCCACCACAGCTCCTTGAAAAGTCATCAGTAAAAGTCAGCCCATATTTATTCCCACTAGGAGTTGACTTCCAGTGTGTCAGCAGATGTAAGAAGCCACTCGCCCTGTGTTCTTTGTGAGGTTTGTTTTCCTTTTTCTGTTCTCCCTGATGTTTGACTTATTTGGGTGTTGATAAGCCTAAAGGTTTTTGCTTTGTAACGTAAGAACACTAGGAGTTTGAGTTTTCATTGGTCTGCAAACATTACTGTGTATCAGCTCTAGGGGTCGCTTCATCTGGCTTTGTTAAAGCTAGGTCACACACCCCTCACTTGAATGCAATGCATACATTTTCCTTCAACAGCACATTTACTTCTCCGCATGCCTTTAGTTAAATTCTGGCTTTCAAATTAGCTAATTGCATAACTGTCTCTATATCCCAACCATCTGTGCCATAGTCAACAGCAGTTCTTGTGATCACAATGTTTGGTAAAGTTTGCTTTCTGCATGCAAGTCTGAAGAGCATATAAATCCTGATGCACTTTGCCATTTGCAATTAACTGTTCCTTCTGTCTGATACAGCATTTCCCTCCAAAATATGTAATCATGCCTTTCTTTGCAAGTACTCTCACAGGAATAAGATTATTTGCCAGTTCTGGGACATAAAGGCAGTCTTTAACAAGGATATCTTGGGTTTCTCCACCAGGGAGTTTGAATTTTATGGTTCTTGAGTCAATGCCTTCTGCATTATAGACTGTCCATCTGCAACACTTAATGCCTCTTTCTTTTCTTTATCTAACATTTCAAAGAAATCTTTATGAGCACACGTGTGGGTTGTGCAGGCACTGTCCAGAAACCAAATATGGCTTCTTGTGGCTTCTTGTGTTAATATCAATATTGTGTAGTGGGTTGCCCCATGGACGAACGACAAACAATGACGTAGTGCATAGCACGCTTATTAGGTACACAACAAGAACAAGAACCAAACGGCCGGCAGGCCAACTATATACACAACCAGGGGACCACCCCTGGGTCCTATTGGCAAGTTTGAATCTCCCGCCACGGTCCCATTGGTTCCCCCAGTGGAGGGACTAGGATCCTGGTCCCTATTGTTGTTCCAGACTGAAGCTCAGGAATGTGCGCTGGCCTCCGGTGGTGGTCAGCGGACACAACATCCCTCCCCCCATAGTCCGGACCCTCCCCCATGTGACATAGTCTTTTAGGTACAATGGGGATCATCGTACCCTTGTGGACCATCTGGGGGTCGGTGCTGATCCTTCCGGGGCTCTGACCTCCGGGCCGGGATCCGGAAGTTGCGCTGGGGCCTCTGCTTCAGCCGCCTCCGGTTCCGTAGTTTCCCCTGTGGCTGCCGGGGGCTGGGTGTTCCAAAGTGGATGCTCTTGCGCGGGCACGTCCCTCTCAAGAGTCTCGGCTGGAGCCTCTTCTAGGACCGCCCGCTGTCTCGGGACTTCCTCTGAAGTGTGATCGGGAAGCATTTGCTGGCTGAGCTGGTCGATATGCCTCTTCAGGACCTGCCCGCAT